ACCGCTGCCTACAGCTGCGGCCGCCTAAACCCTAAACCCTAAACCCTAAACCCTAAACCCTAAACCCTAAACCCTAAACCCTGATTTACACTTAAAAATCTGAGAAATAAACAACATTCATCGGATATATTTTCTTGAAATTCATCGTAACTTAGGGTTTAGGGTTTAGGGTTTAGGGTTTAGGGTTTAGGGTTTAGGGTTTAGGGTTTAGGGTTTGATGACCCTCCAGTGGTCCTTTTGTAGGGTTTTTTTTTTTTTGTGTTTTTTGCGTTCTTCCGGCTCATTTTTTTTGTTTTTTTTTAAATTTTTATTTAATTTTAAAAGAATTAATTAAATATAATTAAAATAAACAAAAAAAACAAAAAAAAACAAGCAAAATGGCGGCTACACCCGCAGCACCGCCAGCTGCGTGTACACCCGGGTGTATATACACCGCAGCAACCCTCAAGGGTTTATACGACCCCCTGGCCCCCCTAATAGAGGAGAGCTCTGCTGCTTATCCTCTTACATATCGAGACCTTTGTGGCCGCAGCAGCAGCAGCAGAAGCAGCAGCAGCAGAAACAGCAGCAACAGCAGCAGCAGCAGCAGCAACAGATACCTACACACCACCAAGTCCTCCGTACACAGCTCAGTAGAAAGCGTCTGGGGTTCTATATCCGACAGCAGCAGCTTTCATCATCATCAGCAGCAGCAGCAGCAGCAGCAGCAGCAGCAGCAGCAGCAGAAGCAGAAGCAGCAGCAAGCAGCTCTTCTTTGGAGGCGTCAGCTGCAGCAGCAAGAACCAAAAACCACCGAAATAAATAAAAAGATAACAGAAGAAATAAAACAACAAACAAAGATTGGGGTGTATAGGCAGCTCCAGTCTGTGCTGCCTCGTGAGCCCCCAATAGGTAGTACTAGCTGCTGCAGCAGAGAACAAGCAGCAGCAGCAGCAGAAGCAGAAGCAGCAGCAGCAGCAGCAGCAGCAGCAGCAGCAGCAAGACACAGACCTCAGAGTACATCTCTGCAGCCTACACTGGTGCTGCATCCGCTCTCTCGGGAGCTGCAGCTGCGTAGCGAGCCTGCAGCAGCAGCAGCAGCAGCAGCAACCCCAGCAGCAGCAGCAGCAGCAGCAGCAGCGCCAGCAGCAGCAGCAGCAACGCAGCAACTCTGTCTACTCTGGGAGGCCTTTCACCGCAGCTGTACAGACACCTCAGGATGGCTAAGGACAGCAGACCTGCAGCACGCGCTGCAGCACGACGAGCGTTTGTTTTTTATTTTCGGGATAAAACAAAAAAATAAAAATAAAAATAAAAATAAAAATAAAAAAAATAAAAATAATAATGATAGTTCGTTTGGGGAATGGATATCTCACCTTCTCCGAAACAGAGATGCACCCATACCCGTCGTGAGTTGCTGCTTTTTTTTTTTTTTTTTTTTTTTTTTTTTTTTTTTTTTTTTTTTTTTTTTTTTTTTTTTTTTTT